GGTTATCTTGTGTTCTTCCGTCGGCGTAATTGTAGGATGCATTATCAGTCCAGTGCAGATTTATTATTTATTATGAAATAAATAATAAATAGTTTGTGAAAATATTTCGTCTGTTTTTAGGTGCTTTTGCTAAATCACAGAAAATTCCTCCAACATGCTTTTTTTGTTTAACAGATTTTAGCACATTGTCTGTTAGTTTGAAAGCAGCATCTTCAGTGGATACACCTTTCCTGAAGCCAAATTGTTCCGGGACTAATATGTTGTTAGCATGCATATGATGACTTAATCTATTGTACATAATCTTCTCAAGCACTTTAGAAAAAGTAGTTAAAAGTGAAATTGGCCTGTAATTTGTCATACTGGTTTTGTCCCCTTTCTTGTACAGCGGTCCTACTACAGACATTTTAAGGCGGTCAGGGAAAATGCCTGTGTATAATGAGTGATTACAAATGTGGGTTAATGGACGACTAATTAAAGGTGAATACGCTTCCAAAATTTTACTTGTTATTTCATCATAACCTGATGAGGTTTTTGACTTGAGGGACTATCACACTTTTCCCCTCAGTTTCAGTGGTTGGAATGATATTAAGGCCAGAACATTTTACAGGAAACAGCGTCTTCTGTCCCTGTTTGATTTAAATTTAAGCTTTCAGTAATTGTTAGAAACAACTTATTGAAGGCATTAGCAACAGTTCCAGGATCCTTTACTTTTTCATTGTTTATTAGAAGCGATGGCATCTGTTCTGTTAATATATTTTTCCTGCTGCTAACGCTTGACACATGGCCACCACATATTCTTCCAGCAATCAGATGCGTCAGCATCCTTAGTGTAGGTCATGCATTGTGTAGTCACCTCTCACCAGCCCATAGCTAATCCCTTTATTGACTGAGCTGTCTGAGCAAACAAAAGTATTTATTGTTAATTAACTATATTATCAAACCCACACTAATCTTAGCATCATAACACAAGACAGTTCTTCGTGAAAATAATCTTACAATGTCACACTGTTATTATGTAACACGCTTTTACTCTCTGATCTCGTTTCATTCTAGCTCTAATTAACGTTTTATAACATTGAAACAATTGTGACACTTTCTGGATAATACATCAGTTCTGACCTGCACCAAGTGATGCACCACTTGATGTTTTTATGCTCATAATATTCAGTTTCAGAGACAAATTGGTATCCCGGCAGTTATTAATTATTCCTTTGCATGTATGTTGTTACAGAATGCGGGACCTGTCTGCTCACGAGAAGCACGAGTTTCAAAAACTGCAGAAGGATCTGGATCTAAGGAAGTCTGAGATTGCCGAGCTTGCTCGCACTAAAGAGAAACTGAGCTCAAGAGTAGAAGAAATGGATAACCAAATTTCTGATTTGCAGGAGCAGGTATGCAGTTCAGGTGCACTCTTACTAAGGTGCTGCTAGTGTGTCTTGTTTGCTGTTTAAGTCACATATTTCCTCATTGTGTAATATCCTAAATTATGGATACTTCATTTTCAAGCACTGTAATTTGTGTTATTTCCTTAAATTAAGGGATTATATTTCATAAGCATAGGAAAGATATTTAGAGAACAGGTCTAACTTAGGTTGATGCAGCTCTGGGGGGCAGAGGAAATGGTTCAACAATTGGCAGACTCCAAACTTACCCTTGAAGAACGTGTGAAGGATTTGGAAGAAGCCGTAGCAGATTTAGAGGCCTTGCAAGACATGAATCAACAGCTCCAAGAAGGTAGCCGAGAACTGAAAGTGGATCTTGCTAATTTTGTCCATGACAAATGAGAAGAAATTTATGGGCGAGTTACTGCAGTGTTTCTTAGTCTTTTCTACATGGTTTTACACTGAAATATAGTTCAGTATTTCTCAGCACATGTATTGTTGTAAAATTATGTGTATGTTTATGCAGAAATCATATTCAGTTTTGTTTCGCACTTGAAAAAATTTGTAGATTGACATTTTAAGACCAAGTAATAAATGATAAAAGTTACAGAAAATAAAATATTAGTTTTACTGTGGTTATTCTGAAAATATTGATGCTACTGCCTGTGTTTAAGAGAATTACACAATTATATATTCTAGACACAGCGAGAAAAGGAAGCAGCTTTAGAAACACTGGCAGACCGAGAAATTACCATTGCCAAGTTCTGTGAACTGGTCCAGCAGAGTCAGGAGCTGCAGCA